ATTTATTATATTAACATTGATAACGAGGATGTTCATTACAACAATTAAATACGTATCTTTCTTCTCGTTTCTTCTCGGTTAAAGTGCTGTTTAACTTTATTTTCTTGTAATTTTCATACAAAGATATCTCGTTCCATATAAAGAAACAAAATGTTGAATTAATTCGGTTTGCTGTAATATTTATTCGAAGCAGTATTTTTATACTTTTTCATTGGGCGTTCAAATCGTCTGAAATATTAATTATTTCTAAATTGTTTAAAATCCCTGTCGAAATCTGAGCAACTCTGGCAACTTGAAACAAGTGATTCTCAAAATAAAATTCCCTCTCTCTCTCTCTCTCTCTCTCTCTTACTGTTTCAAAAGTATTTTAATAACACGTTCGAGTGTAACAAAACAACTTAGTCCACACTATACAACCATTCATTACTATATCACTCGAAATTATACAAGAGGATAAATTCCAGATTAACAATAATCCAAAGCAAACGTAACGTTACCTTTTCGACCAGTGTTCCTGCGTTTAACAAACAGACAGAGGGATTTACTTAATGAACAACCATTCATTACCACGTGGAAATTACGGAAGAATGCTGGATAACCAATAACCTAAACGAACGCACGTACGTATGTATGCACGTGCTGAGAAACGCCAGTAAGAACGAAAGTCACCCTTTCTACTCAAGAATGTTTCAATTGCAGTTGTATATTTAGAAAACGGACAAAACGATTCGGCTTAGATAGCCGATTATTATCGCAATCGAAATCGCCGAAGAACGTCGAGTCTGGTAACTTTGGCTTCGGCCGCCGTAAAAATCGCCATTCCTACACGAAAACGTTTGAAACTGGATTTTTAAATTAATCGATAAGCATTTAACTCGCGTACAACCGCCCATTGGAAATCGCGGAAGAATTTTAAGTAGCATGTGTTACTTATGGCCCGAGTCAATTTAGTGCTGGGGCTATTAGCGAACGAAAGAAATCAAGATGGAAAGTACACGAGAAAATAAATAACGCGATGGAAGAACGGAAGGTTTTATCCATACGTGTATTATCGTTTCTGAACAGTGTTAAAGAAAAAAAAAAAAAAAAAAGAACAGTAGAATTCTCCAGTAGAAAGAAATTTATATTGCTCATTGTGACTAACTTCAGTTACAGTATTAAAGAATCTCAATATAGAAATTACATTAAACACTTAACCTACCGTAATCGTGTAAAACTAAAAGCAAGTCTACAAATCATTCTCTCTGAATGGGATCGTATTAATTAAATCGTTACATTCAACAGGATTAGATTTAACTCGTTGCATTGTTACTGCACAACTGGGGAATTAAAATGCCAACAGAGAAAATCACTTTTCACACGTTTGAATATCTTTATGATTGACTAAATCGTTGGACTAAATTAAAATGGGGAATTAAAATGCCAACAGAGAAAATCACCTTTCACACGTTTGAATATTTTTATGATTAATAAAAATCATGATTAATAAATTGTGTGTAAATACACACAAGGGAGCAAAGTCCAAATCAACTGAAACATCGACGTAAATGTCACCTTTCGCAGTTCCATTTTTCCCCATTTACACTCGCAGACGATTTAATTCGTCTGTAATCGCACACCACCATCTTGAGACATTACACAAGAACGCAACGTCCGCAAATTGATCGATGTTGGTGTGCTAAACACCAGTACTAGAAAATTCCCCCGTTTCTGAGTGATCAATTATTTCAATTGCACGTTCGAGTGAATTGTTCAATTGCACATTCAAAGGAACAAGCGGCCTGATTCGATTCACTTAGAAATTCGCTGCCTGGGCGGATGTTAGGCAAACGAAATAACAACCCCTGTCACAGGACACGCGGAACGTAAGACACGGTTGTAAAGCGCAGAGAGATTCACTGGCGCGATATCCTAATTGCGAGATATGAGTCCGCGAGCGCAAGAGTACCACTGGACGCGGGAACCGCCCTCGAATTATGTCTTAATAATAATAATTAGTTCTCACCCTGTTGCGCCACCGGCGATTTCTACGCCAGCTCCCACGAATGGTAACAACAACGTTGAAAATTCTCGCGCGTTATCGTGGCTCGATTTTCCTTCGGTCGCGTTCTGATGGAGAGGTTTCAATGGTGTCTCGTTTGCAGCAGCTGCAGCAGAGTGATCGTTTCAGAACATTATCGCGAGGTATTTTATTCGACACTTTCTTTTTTTTTTTTTTAGAAACAACACGCTGGTATTAATAATGCAAAATTTTATCTTCCTCTCGCGCCGGTGGCCCTTTTTTTTTTTTTTTTTTTTTTTTTTTTTTTTTTTGGAACTATCAACAAGCGATGCTGATTTTTATTTTAGTTTCTTTTTTCTTCTGAGATCGATTTGGTTCCTGTTACAATAATATACAGAGTTTTTATATTTTATTTGATTCCTGTTACAGTTTTTTTTTATATTTTATTTGGTTCCTGTTACAATAATATACGGAGTTTTTATATTTCACTTTTATTTCACAAGAGTCTTCTTATTTTTAATTTATTCTAAACATACTTTTTTAGATATTGAATTTATCAAGTTCATTGATTTAAATCGAACTTACTGTACGATTGTATGAGGCTGATCTTTGTTTCCTTTTTTGAAATTTCATGAGTATTTGTCGATACTCACGAGTTGCAGAAGAATTCCGAACGATTCCGACAAATGTCAAGAGATTACAATTTTCTTTTTACTTTCAAGTGAGGGTCGAAGGTGATTTCTATCGTTGAGGATACAAATAAATGTATAAATTTTTTTTAACGGAAGTTTGTTTAAACGTCGACAACTACTGCATTGGAAAATATGATACAATTAGTTTGATCGTCGATTAAAGTCTACATTTTATAAAGTCTCGGTGGAAAATTGTAGCCTTCGAATCGGATAAATGTAGCTTCGCTATCAGATAAATGATCAGGAACTCTCATTGCGATATATATGGCGGCCAGCTGACGTTGAACTAATTAGTATCGACAGAAAAATTCTGTAACACAGCGCGGCAGTATACACATGTAGCAAGAATTATATTACCGCGATAAGAAACTGTAGTTTGCCATAACATCGAGTCGATGTTCTAATTACCACGTAATTAAAAAGTAATTAAGAAGTTACTCCAACGTCTCTATTTTTACATATCTTTTCTAGGAAATCGTTTCGCGCTTAATAACTTCATCAACTAATCCTCCCGCAGTGTCTAGCGAGAAAATGAATTGTTGCTCCATACGGTTTATTTTTAACATTTCTCAATAGAATCGTGTAGCCGCTTTAATTGAAGCTATAAATAAAACCAACGCCGGAGAAATGAATATTTCTTGCTAAGATATATATGGCTGCAATATAATTTCTAGTGAAATTGTATTTAGTGCAACGTTTTTTTTTTCTACAATTCTCCGCACTGGAATTAAAAATAAATTCGATCGAACAACTGCGTTCGATCCATTTTCAATTCAATAACATTTTCTTCGACAAAACATTTGAAAAATATTAGTATAATATGGCTTTACTCCATTTTACTTCTATGTTTCAAGTTTTCTTAAAACTTGCGTTTTGTTCACCAAAATGAGAGCGAGATTGAAAACACGAAAGTTCAAGGATTAATAAATGCAGAATATACACGTATATTTGCATTTTCTCTAAACGTTCATCATTTTTATTCTCACGTGATATGAAACAATTCGGCGGCAAACGGTGAACGATGTTTCGGCAATTATCGGCGAACGAGTCTATTAATCCGCGTGTCTAACTGTAAATCACATCAGCCACGAACCACCGATCCGCGATTCTGAAACCGGTTTCGCGGTTCCTAACCCTGGCTTAACCTATGTACGCCTAACCCAGACACTTAAACCCTTTCGTCTTTCATCGTTCGTAAACTCGGGCGGTTAACCTCGCCTGGAGGAGCATGAAATATTCAGTAAGCACGGTGACCCGGCTATAAATCACCGAACTTCACGAACCAACGTTCGCGAGTCTTGTTCAGCAATTAGGGCAATGTTAGAATTTTAAAACGATTCGTAAGTTTTTTTTCTTTTTTTTCTTTATAATATCGCATCTGTTTACGTGTCATAATGGCAATTGTTTGTAGACTATGGACTTTTCACGCTCGACTAGAGAACTAAAGAATCAAAGAAAGACGTGAGAAGTTAAAGAAACGTGAAATCGTAACTAGATCTAGATTTTGTCGATTTATAAACTGAAAAATTCTACGAAATCAAAGAATAACGAACCTAAGGAACTAAGAAAAATCTAAGAAACGTAATTAAAGAAATCCGTGTAGAAATTTGTTTTATCCATCTGTAATTCAGGAAAACCGAAGAAATCAAAGAATTTTCAAGACCTAAAATAAACTAAAAAAAAATTTAAGAAACGTAGTTAAAGGAACTGTAGAAATTTGTTTTATCTATTATATAGTTGAAAGCCAAAGAACTGAAAATTCAAAACTATAGAAACCTAAGAAACATAGCTAAAACAATTTATATTTATGTGTAGAAATTTGTTTTTTTATATCTGTTTATAATTAAGAAAACCTAAGAAATCAACGAATTAAAGACTTGAGCAACTAAAGAAATCTACGTATAGGAATTTGTTTAAAAAATTACAGAATAAAATGCTTGAAGAAACTAAAAAGAGCCTAACCTAAGAAGCTTAGAAACATAATTTGTTTTATTTATTACGTATCGTAAACTCTACTTTAAATATTTTACATATTTTTACATACTACGCGCTTCGTGTGCAATTTTGTAGCTTCCAGTTTCCTATCAACGCGTAATTATAATAAATACTTATTTTAAACATAATTTCATGTATTAAGAGGCGCGCCGTCTGCATTTCCACGCCTTTCAGTTTCCCACGAATATATAAAAAGTTTGCATAAATACTCGTGCAGAACTGCTGCAACTTCATTTCTTAAAATTCATAAGTATCCCCATAACCTCGGGAAACGAAAGAGCGTAGTACGATATTTTCGTTCGATATCAATCATGTACGGATTATACCTTTGCGACATTTGTGTGTCGCGATTAATGATAAATAAGGAGGTGTACAAGGATACAGATGGGTCGAAGCTCGTGGCGAAAGTGGTCTTCATTAATTTCCCAGCCACTGAGATCGTCGAACGCAATCGATACGTTAAAGACGAAATCATTTACGTTTACGAGTTCAACAACGGCCAGTCTTTTCATTTCTCAATGCCGTGCGAGCAACTGGTCAGGAAGATGAAGAGGATCTTTTTAAACATCGGCGTTTTCAGGGTGGACGATAATTTCCCTATTTGTTCCGCTCAGTCTCGCGCCAGCGGTTGTGCTTGCGATTTGGTAAAGCGCATAAACGTGAAATATTAAACGTACGGATATCAAGTGTTTCATTACTTCAGTTGGACGTTAATTATTTTAGGGGAAAATTGGCGTGGAGGGTTCAACGCCGTTTGTATTTAGAGGCCCGTTTGAACTCGTGGACACTGGCAACAATTTCGCTGGCTATTTAGATCTCGACGTTACGGTTACAAATTTGGGAAGGTATTGCCGAATAACAAACTTTTACGTTGGTAAACTGAAGCTTATAAATTTAACGAAATTTTAAGTTTTTCTTTTTCCTCGTGATATTATTAATAATCTTTTAATGGTTAAATTTCTAATTGACCAAGAATGAATTTCTTCATCAAAAATCCTCTTTCATGTATACACACTGAACAATTTTAAGTTTAAGTTTAAATTTACAGTTTCACGAGTACAATTAAAGAAAGAATTTATTTATATTTCTATACGAGAATGCATATTTTGTTTTTTTATAATACAAATGCGTAGACACTCATAGTCTGTGCACGTGTAAGAAAATTCGTGAGATATAGAATTAAAATATTCTTTCACAATCTTATTTCACTTTGTACACATTATTTAGAAGCGTTGTGACTCCGTATGTCCTCGCGCCTAATTGCTTCGTCTTCAAAAACCACCACGATGGACAAGAATACAAGTGCAGTACGAAGGAATTATCGAAACTATCCCAAAGGACGAATAATTTAGCGGCTATGGGAAATCTCGTGATGGACAATCTGTTGGACACATCTCCGCATGGCAATCTGATGAAAGATGTCGCTGGAATTTCTTCGGTGGCTGATCAACTTGCTCTAGGGAGTCCACCCCCTAAATTACCACGGCCACCATTGGTGGATCCAACGTTGGTCACGCGTAAGAAAAAAGACAAGAAGCGTAAAAAGAAGAAAAAAATCACGAGTCTTTAGTATTGTAGATATCAAATTGTAATTCATTCTTGGGTCAAATTTAATTTGACAGCATTGTGATAATAATTAGACTGCACGTAGATGTTAATGTAAATCGAAATTCTCGTTTCTGGCTCATTTAGAGAAACGGAAACTAAACAATTATAAATATATTCGTAGTTTCTAATACGACAATATTATAAAATAATATTATAAATATATTCGTAGTTTCTAATATCTGCCAGTATCTGCAATAACCCTTTTGTACTTTTAACAATAACCCTTTTGTACCTTTTCTGAATTATTGCAATAAAAATTTCTATATTAATTGTAAATAACCATTTGTATATCAATTGTTTAATATTGATTGACTGCTTTCATTATATTATATTAATTTACTGGTTGCAATTTCGAAAGATTAATCGTCGAAATTTTGCTATACACATCCACTGAATTCGTTAATAACTTACAATAGTTCACAGTAGTTCGTTAATTAATTTTAAGATCATAGTGTTCACACAGTACATAGTGTGATGATTAATTCAATTTTTCTAAATTTCGATCAACGATAAAACGTCATACATCAGCAATGCAATTTGATATCCATTTAATTTCCAACGTACACCCTATGAAACTATTATTAATGAGCGATCAATGAGCGTTTATTGAAAACACTTTTCTTTTCCGATAGCATCGCTTTGAGCGACAGCTGAACCGTTTCAACCGAGATCCAAGATCGTCGGAATGCGTTTCGGAAATCGTTGCACGAGCCGCCCTCCAGGCAGCCAGCCGATATCCTAGAGTTATAAGAACATTACGTTCTCATAAATCAGGCTCGATTCGATTCGGCATAAATCATAATCGTGTCGTCGGGCATATGCAGACATCTTTGCCCTATAGCGAACAGCTCCGTGAGAAAGATCCTCAATCGCTCTCTCTTCTCATGATATTCCGTTAACTGCTTTTCATCCGGTGCCGACGCGTTTCTTTCGATCGGTTTCTCGTTCACCATTTACCAACTTATATGTATGTTACATGTGCCACACGAACAATCTACATACGTGAGATTTCATTTTGAAAATTGTCAGAATCAAACGTAGTATGGAATTAGTAGATATAGAAATTATAATATTGTTTTAATATTATATTATTACTATTTAATAAATATTAATTTTAATATTAATTTATTTAATAATATTATTATTTAATACTTATATTATTATATATTGCAAGTACGTATAAATTTACTGGATCAAATTAATATTTCGATTAACAGAGACAAAAGTGTGTATATAAGATTAAGTAATAATATTTATTATTATAATAAATTTGGAAACGAAAGTGTAAAAATTATTAAACTGTGAAAGACAAGTTGGTTTTCGAGCCGTTGACGAAGATTATACATTTCGGGACAAAATATAGCACACTCTAAAAATTATTAAATTTCTTCTTACAGGCGTTCTTCCATAGTGCTTTTATCGACACGTACAAGTAACGTGAATCAAACTTTTTGCAACACATTTTGTGTTATTAAAAAAGAATCAGAAATATGGTAATGTTTAATGAGTCAAGCCGTGAATAAAAACAAAAGGAATGACTTTGATAATTATTTAATACGACCTACTTTGCATTTATTAACGTCAGCCATTTTTTGAGACAAAAATTTATATAGCTTTTTTAAATGATTTTTTGGCCTAGTTCTTTCCATTCCTCCACAATTTTTTTTTAATTTGTTAATATTTATAAATTTTCTTCCATTTTAGTATATAGTGCTGGCCAAATTTTTACAAATGTTAATACATACTTAACGGTTACGTTTCGGCCTCGCGGTAGATAATATTTACATCTTCGTTTTTTAAATTACATTTCTCGGTAATAATAATCAAAATATGACGTACACGTACGTCTACGTTCAAGGATTCTCCCTACTTTACATACATAATATAAGAAAATATAGAACGTTCTATCTTCTCGTCCCGAAGTGTACACTATCGTTGCCAATGAGTTCAATAAATATTTGTAGTTTATGACTAAACTGTAAAAAATAAAAAACTGTGTAAATGTAGAATATGATAGAAGAATTTTTTAGAATCTTGATAGAAAGTTGTTTTATGTATCAAATATCACAGATCAGCACTGTTCTTTGAATATTGTTAAATTTATATATTTAAATATATTTCATAAATTTTTCCATATTATTAAGTTTATAAAATTTCCTACACGTGTACGAAAATCAGGCAAAGAATTTATAGCATTAATGGGACTCCTCGTGGAGAGCGCTGGCAATTGTTTTTCAAATATCAATAATTCGAAATGTTATTATTCGAAAAACCACTTAAATATGATATTTTCCAATACTAGATATTGCGTATATTTAAAAAATATTAAAAATTTTCTTTCACTCACTCAGAATCTCCTATTTCTTATATCATCTTTGTAAAATCATTCTAAATTGTAGAGAACGTAGATTAGATTAAATTTTCTGACTTTCTCTTAATCCCTTGCTTCCTTGATTGAATCGAATAAGAATTAATTTTCTAATTCTCTAAGTCAAAACAAAAAGTCAAAGTCGGCTATCTGCGTGTTGTTATTCATTTTCGGGAGGAGTCTCGAAACAGTGTGCACTTCGCGTGCATCGACTTTGACTTTAGCCTCGTGTGGCTACCGGTATAACGACTTCCTGTCGCAGCCGCTCGTAGCAGCAACCACACTGCACATATACAGGGTGTGCCAGTCAATGTATTTACCCACCAATGACATTCGCGTCTTTAGCGAATTCTTGCTCTCTTTAATCGAACTCGGGGGAAGGGGGAGTCGGTGTCTGTCGATCGATGAAAAATGTTATTTATTCGCCTGGCGTGTTCGCCGAACACGCCCGGAAAAAAAGTGAACTTTCATGCCGAGAGACCGACACGGTTTTAACTCGTTGCACGTGTTTGTTGAATTTTACCAGGTGTCGCGGTGAAATTTGTTTGCCCGGGAGGTTAATCGATTACCCGCGTAATACGTGAAATACGCGCGATATGCGGAAATGAATTATTAATGCGACACGTGACCGGGACACGCGAGTGCTCTGCATGAGGGAGGCGGAAGTCCGCGAATGAATTAATGGAAGAATTTACGGTGATCGGCCGGTGGATTGTGATTTCCTTCAGGACTATCTCTCTAACGTGTTCTGTTGTAATTTCTTGTTAAACGCTAGAGAAATTAACGAGCGAAGAACATTTTGTTTGTTTATGATATATCTGTCATTCGAATACCTGCGTGAAAATTTCTATGAAAGAACTAAGAATTCCTTATTTCAATTAATTCGGTTAAGTTTTAATGTTAATGATTGATTTGATAGTACGTATCAAGATTGTCATTCTAGCGATCATTTTTACGCAGTCATATTTTCCCGAATGCAATTAAAGGAATAGATTCTCGGTGTTAAATGTCGTAGGAAACACTTTAAAATTTTTCGAGAAATGGAGCGAATTTGAAAAAAAATTGTTCAACCAAGTATTCTCAAACATCAATTAAAACCTACGAAATATTCTCGAAAAAAACGTTCATTCAAAATTTTACACAGCACCTCACTTCACGAATCTGATTAGACTGCAGATTTTTACATGTTTCGTACGAAACATAAACAATTGTGTCTTCAGAGTTCAGCTTTGAATTTGCATAAATATTCACGATCCCCGTAATCTCCATTGAGAAAATATATACTCTCCGTCGCGGATACACCGTACCTGTACATCCTGATGGCGAGTGCGCTGTCTGTTCTAAGTTCACGCGAATGTTAGCTATTATCCCGCCACGGACAGTCCGTTTTCGTCGAAGGGCAACAATAATTTCCTGACCGTACAACATTGAGGACATTTAAATCGTCCGTACCACCCGGAACACGCACATACATTTACATCGAATTAACCTTGGCCAACCTGGGTGGAAACAGGTTGCCTTTCCGTAATTATCACGCCGCTCGAATTACAATTATTAATTCCGTACACTGGTTCGATCGTTCGCCTAATTAATTCCCAAGTGCATTAAGAGACTCGTTCGCCAGAGATCGATTGCATCCGAGCGGAAAAGAGAATCAGTCGAGTCGTTGGAACTAAATTAAATATATGTCTTGGAATTTTTTTTTATTACTAGCGTTTTTTTTCTTTTTGATTAATGCATCAATGAGCCATATATAATTGTAAAGCGGCGATAGCAGTTAATCTTGCGACTATCGAATTGTTAATATTTACATTTCCTGCCTAATAATTTATCAAATGAAGTGTGGTTTATATCAATTTATAATTATACTGCGTAAGTATAAATGCGCAGAATTGTCAAGTCGTAGTTTACATATAAATAAAATACCGAAAGATATATAAAATTATTTCTTTCCCATTGAGTGAAAATATTTGTCTCAGCGTAGATAATTAATAAATTCTCAAGAAAGAAGTAGAAGCTTACCTTCAGTTGCATCGCGAAGGATGTTCTATGTTTTGTAACTGGAAGCATTCTGTTTTTCAATATCCATAGATAAGAAGAGCCACGAATTAAAAATATATACGAAGCATGGAATTTGAGCGACTGATCGAACAAGTTCAATTTCACTCACACGCATCTTGCACTGACTCTTCGAATTCTTTCTAACAACTCCATTACTAAATCTTCAGTCCGTGCTTAAAATCCTTTTATCCCTCCACGCCTCTAAATTTATTTACCACCACCGTCTTGTTCTCGACACTAAAATTCTGCTTCTAAAAATTCTTTCACTCCCACACAACGCAGAGCGATTCTTCAAACTTTGTCCAGAAAAAGAACAGATGTTCGATTTCTATTTTTATTAAGCCTCAGGCTTGACTAGCGACGCCTTTCATTCTAAATATTTCTTCCCTCCTGCAGTGCAGAATTTCTCCGCCTTGGTAATCCAGTTTCTTTATTTTCTGCATACTTTTAATGTTTCTATTTCTATCTCTATATTCCTATTTTTGTAGTTTCGTTTCCATTCGTGTATTTCTATTTTTCTATTTCCATTCCCTTTCCCCCCATTTGTCTTCTACACATTACTGCATTCGTTTTTACTTTTTCCAAATCTACCTGCTTCTCTACTTCCACATTTCCATATTTACATTCATCTTTCTTTTTCTATCTATTTATCTTTATTCACGCTAGTTAACAAAAACTGATTGCAACCCTTTGCCTCGTGATTTCCTTTTTAGTCTTGTTGCAAACATTAGTTACTGCAACAAATTACACCGTAATGCAGATGTAAAGCATTGAAACTATCATGCATGATTTATTAATTTATTAATTTATTAATCTTTAGTTTGAGAAATTGAAATTGAAGATTTAAATTTGCCTCTTCTTTCCAAACCACAATTTCTCTGCAAGTGTGACTCGATGTTGACAAAAGACACGCGCAATTTTTTGATCGTTCTTGATCCAAAGAAGCAAATCTCAAATTCCGCGAAACGTCGAACGATCCCCCGAATTAACGTCAGCTTTATTTACTTTCTAATCAAAGCTTTAAGATACACGTTGCACGATTTTCCAGATTTCACGAGGCCACAACAGCTGCAACTTTCCCGACGAGCGTCATCTGTCACTTTTTCCTCGGATCGAAGACCACCGCCACGATCGCGAAAGGAAAGAAGAGAAGGGAGGAGGAACTCGCGTGGGACATCCCAAGGGGAAGTAAAACTCACCCGCGGTTCGACGCGTAGGCGAGGCTACGCGTATGCTAATTACGGCAAATCGCAGCGGGCGATGATTTGTTCGTGAACGAGCGTGTAAACGGAACTTTTCCAGGAGGGAAGCCGCGCTAGGAAGCCAACGCGAAGCGGACTGGCCAACTCGCGACAACGGTCGAAGCGAGTAACGGCGCTGCGACACGCGAGTCTCGGCCAGTACACGAATTCATCTCGCGCGGAACACGCGCGCTACACGAGCACGTGTGCGAGTATCTTGCGCTTTTGGTTTTCTAGATTCCTTGCCTAGCAATTTACGACGACGTCCCCGTGAATTTATTGTTACCTATTGTGGAAATATTGGCACGATGAATAAGAGTTTATTACGAATGTCGATGACAAATGGCGGTCGTATAATAAACTCGATACGATTAAATTGTTTTGACAACTGTTTCGTTGGACACCGACACCTCGAGAGAATGTCGCTTTCAACGACGCTATACACATATTTCTTAACTTAATTGCGACACATCTTTTCCAGTTGTTCGCGTTCATTGTGATATGATTTTACAAGTAACGTATTATATATGACGTATCACAGTAAAGCGGAGCATTCACCTTTGGACGACGACGATGACGTGCAGTTACAAAATTAACACATGTCAGTAAGAATATATTAGTAATTTTGAATGTGCCTTTTTTCTTCAATTGTCATATAGAAGTTGAAACGTAACAAGAGGAAACACTGATATGAAGATTTATTCATATATTTACGTCCTTTTTCTGTTACTTTATTTTTGTAATAATTGATATTCCCTACTTTGAAAGATTTCTGCAGAGGATATACGCAAATGAAGAATATTAGACACACTCGATATGCTTGTTTGATTCAGATGATGAGACACCTGAAAGCAGCTAATAAATCAATTAATCAGAATGAACGAACAGATCAGAAAATTTTATTCCATCGATCAAACTCGACAATTTCTCTTTTACGAATCTAGCAACCAAACAACCACAAAATAACAGAGAAGAGCCGTGCAGTTATCAATCACTCCAATTTCTGTTCTCTCTGCTGTAATTGACACTAGTCTCTGGATAAAAAGAAGATTGATTCACGATACGAAGGAAATTGTTTTTCAACGAAAGCGAGAAACAGCTTAGCGTATGACTGTGATGTGTCACGGATAACTGAAAGGGAAGGAAGAAGAATATTAAAAAAAAAAAGGAAAAAAAGAAAGAAAGGAAAAAATATTGGAAAAATTCAGACTCGTCTCGGTTGGCGCGCGGAATCGGTGGAAAAAACCGGGACGAAGGATTCGCGCGGACGATCGTGTACCCTGGTTTACGGCCCCCTCGACGAGCGACCACGTATGGCCTATGAAACGACCATACTCGTAGTACTAAATAGACCATAAACCAAAGGAAATTGCCACGCGCTTACACACCGCTTCGCGTACCATTCGATACGTGAGACGCAAAGATAAGTGTGCAAGCAACGTTGCACCGATCGCGATCGAACGGCTTCGAAAAACTCGCAATTGCCGCGTACAAATGTACCTATTTCGAACGTACGACGATGCACGTTCTTTCTCTTATTTTTTACCTCTTTCTACTTTTCTTTTTTTTTTTTTTTTTT